GGGGGAAGCCCCCTCCCCCCCACAGCAGCAGCTGTGGCTCCCAGCGCTGTGTGGCACTGACTCTCAAGGGGGTCAGCGAGCCCTCCTTTTGTGCCAGGCAATGAGCTAGGTGCTTCCTCTACATTCTCCTGTTGCTCAGCACAACTCTGTGCCCACGTGACCCAGCAGCATGTGGTTTTATTGGAATCAGAGCCAGATCTGCCTGATCCTAAGCATGTTTTCTGCTAACCCTGCCGGATCCAGCCAGCTAATCCAATTCATCATCCCTGGACGGGAGAAGAGTGGGCCCTGTTGCATGTCCAGCACATCAAATCCTATCACTTCTGTGGCATTCCGGTGTCCTGCACTTTCTGGAGCAACTCCAACTTTTGAACACATTGGTCCCACTGCACCCAGGGGTGCATTCATGCGTGTCTCACGGTGTGGTCAGCCCTGGGAGGCCCCACTTGCTGACCCGCATCTGTGCAGCCCTCAGCACTTGCTTCTTCCACTCACAGGGACAGCTCATTTACATGTTGTGATTGGCTTCACATATCTGTGCTTTATCTTCCCTGCTGCCCTCTAAGTTCCTCTCAAAGCAACGCTTCCCAACCGGAAGGCCATTCCCAGGAAAGGAATCCTGGAAACAATAGAATCCACATGGAATCCACACCAGGACCCACAGCAGAAGACACTACAGTCCCACCTGCAACTGTTCTGCTGCCTCCATTTGCAGTGGCCTCGTGCGGGATGCAATGGCCCTTCGGAGACATGTTCTTACACCATCTCATCGGCATACAACTCCCAGAATGGGAGCTGCCCAACTGTAATCTCACTGGAATCCATGTAAAGTCCTAGGCCCAGATTTAAAAACCCAAGTGCTCAAACATGACACAATGAAAACTTGGCTGGGTTGTACTTCAAAAAAAGTGTAAAAGCTTCAAATGTTGGTAGTAAAGTTAAAAACAAGCTCAACAGTATAATGTGACCATTGACCAGGAAAGTGAAGGTATCGCTAGGATGTGCTGATGGAAGTGGCCTGGGCAGACCACAGGAAGCAAACGTCCCGCAGAGCCCTGGGCTGAGCCCGTTACGCAGAAGGACAAATACCGCGCTCGAGTCTGGAGAAGGGCAGAGAAACATAAAGACACTCCAGATGTTTGACAGGCTCTCATATGGAGAGAGGATCTAGAATGCAAACCATTGGGGGAAAGTAACTGAGGAACAATTTTTTGTTCAATATAAGAAACTTTCAAACCATGCTTGTGGGAGGCAGAACACGGCCCCCACAGATGTCCATGGCCTCAACCCCGGAGCTGCGTCTGTGTGACCTGACGTGGTAAAAGGGGCTTCGCAGCTACGATTCAGTCAGGAATCTGGAGGTGGGAGGCTTTCCTGGGTGACCCTTTTAGTGGGGAGGCAGGAGCGTCAGAGAGATGTGGCATCTGCAGGTGCTACAGGCCCAGGGATGCTGGTGGCTCCTAGAAACCAGGAAAGGCCGGGAGTGGGTTCTCCCCCAGGGCCGTTAGGAGGAACGCAGCAGGCGGATAAGCTGGACTGCAGTCAAGTAGCACCCATCTCAGACTTCTGACTTCCAGAACTATAACCGAATAAACCTGTGTTGTCTTCAGCCACTAAGTTACTGGAAACTTGTTAAAGCGGCAATCAGAGATGAATGCGACAACCAACACGGGAATAACCACCACCAGCCGCAGTGAGCTCCCTGTCCCAGGAGGCAATCAAGAAGAGACGGAACGTCTACCTGCCAGGAATGCTGTGCAGGCAAGTCCTGGGTGAGCCATGACAAATGCCTCCAAAGCTGAGAGTCCACATCATGTGGCGGCGCCTTCTCCTGCTTTTGTATTTGACTCGCTGGTCCCCACCCCCCGGCCTGGTGGTGGGCAAGCCTTGCCCTGTTGCCTCCCAGGAGGACAGGGGTAGTAAGGCAAATCCAGGCTTTGGGGGATGTCCTCACAGCACCTGGGGCTGGGCCCGGCTCAGAGCAAAGGTGCTTGCCCGGGGTGCCTACCTGAGCAGAGGACGCCTCTGTTCCTGGCACAGGAGAAGTTGTCGCACTCACAGAAAGGCCCGTAGATCTTCCCGAACTCGCTCTCGAAGCAGGAGCACTGGCTGCAGCTGCACTGCCCGCGCCCGCTGCACAGCGGCTTGCCCTCCGCCTCGCGGCACAGGTTCTGGTGCCCGCTCGGGTTCTCCCCTTCCTGGCACTCGCACTTGCTGCCCAGGTAGCTGGGGTTGCACTCACACAGACCGCAGACGTAGGTCCCGTTCCCGCTGCATCGGGGGCTGTCCGGCTCCTGCCCCGCGCTGCAGCGGCACTGTGGAAATCCAGACAGGGATCTGGCACACCCTGACCAAATGCCATCTGAAGTGCTTCTCCCTGAACAGTGGTGCTTCTCCTCTGAACGGTGCTGCTTCTCCTCCGAACGGTGGTGCTTCTCCCTGAACGGTGGTGCTTCTCCTCCGAACGGTGGTGCTTCTCCCTGAATGGTGGTGCTTCTCCTCTGAATGGTGATGCTTCTCCTCTGAACGGTGGTGCTTCTCCAGAAACAACAATGATGAGAAACATTGATTGGCTGCCTCCTACATGCCCCCTCCTGGGGATCGAGCCTGCAACCCGGGCATGTGTTTTTACCGGGAATCAAACGGTGACCTCCTGGTTGATGGGTCAATACTCAACCACTGAGTCACACCGGCAGGGCCAGACTGTTTCTTTTTAAACAAAGCATGTAAAGAAGCATTGTTAACCCCTAAGCGGCTTGTGCGTTGCCCTGGAAACAGGCAGCAAGGTGGACCGAGCTGGCAGATGGTGGGAAAGATGCCTGTTAGCTGCCCACTCGGCTGCAATGGGAAAAAAGTGAGGGCACTGCTTGGTGATTCTCCCAGGAAGTAGAGCACAACTCTTCCACTCCCCTCCTTCCACTGAGAACGGAGCCATGTGTGGTTATATTCATCCAGCCCTGCCCTCAGAGCAGGGCACTGTGGAAATCCAGACAGGGATCTGGCACACCCTGACCAAATGCCATCTGAAGTGCTTCTCCCTGAACAGTGGTGCTTCTCCTCTGAACGGTGCTGCTTCTCCTCCGAACGGTGGTGCTTCTCCCTGAACGGTGGTGCTTCTCCTCCGAACGGTGGTGCTTCTCCCTGAACGGTGGTGCTTCTCCTCCGAACGGTGGTGCTTCTCCCTGAACGGTGGTGCTTCTCCTCCGAACGGTGGTGCTTCTCCCTGAACGGTGGTGCTTCTCCTCCGAACGGTGGTGCTTCTCCCTGAACGGTGGTGCTTCTCCTCCGAACGGTGGTGCTTCTCCCTGAATGGTGGTGCTTCTCCTCTGAATGGTGATGCTTCTCCTCTGAACGGTGGTGCTTCTCCTCCGAATGGTGGTGCTTCTCTTTTGAATGGTGGTGCTTCTCCTCTGAACGGTGGTGCTTCTCCTCTGAATGGTGGTGCTTCTCCTCCTCTGAATGATGCTTCTCCCTGAATGGTGGTGCTTCTCCTCCGAATGGTGGTGCTCCCTACACAGACAGAGGCCTCGGCCCACTCCAGAAACTGACTCACCACGTCTGGCCCAGAGAGCACAACTCTTCCACTCCCCTCCTTCCACTGAGAACGGAGCCATGTGTGGTTATATTCATCCAGCCCTGCCCTCAGAGCAGGGCACTGTGGAAATCCAGACAGGAATCTGGCACACCCTGACCAAATGCCATTTGAAGTTCTTCTCCCTAAACAGTGGTGCTTCTCCTCTGAACGGTGCTGCTTCTCCCTGAACGGTGGTGCTTCTCTTTTGAATTGTGGTGCTTCTCCTCTGAACGATGATGCTTCTCCTCCGAATGGTGGTGCTTCTCCTCTGAACAGTGGTGCTTCTCCCTGAACGGTGGTGCTTCTCCTCTGAACGATGATGCTTCTCCTCTGAATGGTGGTGCTTCTCCTCTGAACAGTGGTGCTTCTCCCTGAACGGTGGTGCTTCTCCTCTGAACGGTAGTGCTTCTCCCTGAACGGTGATGCTTCTCCTCAGAATGGTGGTGCTCCCTACACAGACAGAGGCCTGGGCCCACTCCAGAAACTGACTCACCACGTCTGGCCCAGATGTCTTTATTTTTCAAGTCTCCTCAGATCATTCTGAGGCTCAAATGGGTTAGCAATCATGTTTAATGATTGTTATCCTTAATCCTATTATTTGGGCTGAAATACGGCTGAGTTTTTAAAAGCCACCAATTACTTGCTTTACAGGGCACTCTTTAGGTAATGATGTGTACTTCTGGCGAACACGGAATGTATCTTGCTCTAAATGTTCTACAGATCCCTATCACTTCTGGATCTTTGCTAATTTTAAAAAGCCTCCCTTCAGATACTGTGATGTCTAGGGACACCCGGGGGAAGGGGTGAGGGTGGAGGTGTGAGAGACTGAAGAGGAAGACAGACCCAGCTGTCTTGGTCCTGGAGATAGTCCTCCTGGGCAGCAAGCCTCGGCTTCGGGGAACTCACAGCAGGCACCCAGGAGTCAGCATTAGCCAAAGGGGGTCCCAGGAGAGGACAGTGTGCTGAGAACCATGACCAGGAGCCAGGGTCAGAGGACACTGGGAAAGCAAGCCAAGCGACAGTGGGGACTAGCCCACCCTCCATGTCTATGTGTGTGGGGGGAGGGGAGGGAAGGGGGGAGACAAAAAGAGAGATTGACAAAAGCAAGTTCGGGACTAAGTTCAAGGCCCTGAGGCACAGTAACAAGAAGGGGACTCACCGGGCAGTGAAATCTGCCTTATGACAACACACACTAACAGTTTCCAGGTGCCAAGCACCCACTGTGCAGACATTTCCATGAGCAGGTCCCTCACATGCCCTAGAAGGAGACATTCCATTTACCAGAGATAAAATGGGGACTACCTGCTGGGGAGGGTTGGGCCTGTGCTCTCCTTGGCATGTTACCTCCTGGAAGCGGGAATGAGACAGGTGCCCAGTGTCCACGCCTGGGTACAGAGGGAGAGGCAGCCTGGCTCACTGTGGAGACTAGAGGGTGACCCCCAAGGGCCAGAGGCTCCTCCAAACCCTCCTGCCTGGCTCAGGATGACCCAGGCCTGCAGGTGAGAAGCGAGGGGAGACCGCACCTGACCGAAGCCTCCACAGGGACATCGAGCATGTGGAGGTGACTCCCCTCTTCCGAAGCTCGGGGAGCAGCTGTGACTTGCCCTGTGACCTCCGCTTCGCTGCACTTATTAAATGGAAAGCCCTGCCCCCAAAGGCATCTGTGGGCAGAGGTGGAATAAACTACAAAGGAGTGACCTGGACCAACAGCCAGAGGCATTTAATTACTGAGACTCTGGGAGTGTCCCTCTGTGAGCATCACCTCCCCCAGGAAATCTTGCCTGCGACACGGGGCACGGTAGCCAAAGAGAGAATGAAATGTCCCGAGTCTTGCTGATGTATCTGTGTTTGCTGGGAGTGAGTGAGAGGTGAGGGGAGCCCCTGAATCAGTGCTGGCAGCTGATCACCCAGGATTTAGAAAAGCTCCAGCCCTGGCTGCCTAGCTGGGGAGCAAGGAGGACCCAGTTTTCAAGCAGGTCCAATGGCCCTCACGCAACCTTCCCTCCCCGCTGCCCCCCCCCCCCCCCCCCCCATGACCACGGAACGGCTGTTCCAGCCCCAGGGCCTGCGGGGCACAGGAGGCTATAAAGCACTGGGGAGCAGCAAGTAAACCTGTCCTGGGACCCTTCCTCTCAGAGCCCACTCCCCTACGGGAGCAGGAAAGAAACCGGAGTCTGGCAGGCGTCGTCCCTGGTTATTCCGGCCTCCAACTGACACTGAAGGCTCCCAGTTCCTGGACTCCCCATTCTCCCACGCGGTGACGGGAGAGGAAGGTCAGGGACCGAGCAGCCCTCCCTCCTGCCCAGTCCTGTTATTCAACCCTCATTGGGATGCTCCCGGTTCCTCAGCAGGGCGGCTGGTCTGACCCACTCTTTCAAACGGGCCACCCGGCCCCCACCCCAAACCCACCCACCCAGGGCTGCCCGCTGCCAAGCCCACCAGGAGCACAGGGAAAGAAAGCGCTGGTGGGCACGGGGTACAAAGCCCGGAGGAGGGACAGGAACGGACAGTGCCGGAAGCTCACTGGGTCCTTTGTACCGGGCATCAGTGCTCGCCGCACAGGCCGCACGCATGCTGATTTGTCAAGGCCAGTCCATGAGAAACCCGACTCCCAGGGCTGGGCCTCAGTCAGTCCTGGCTGGTGTGGGGCGAGGGGAGGAAAACTAGGGGGAAACCTGAAGTCACTGGAGAAGAGAACCTCATTGGATTGGGGGCTTTCAAAGTCTTATTGATGTAATACTTCTCTTTGAGGACATCCTTGTCCCTCACCCTGCCACCTCTCTGCTTCTTGCCCGGACACAGCCACTGCAGGAGGCAGAGGGAGCAGTAAAGCCCCTGCCTGCGCAGTATTGGGCGCATTGCAAATCCCCACGAGACGGGAACTCGTGTTATTCCCTCCATGACGAGGAGGCGATGATTAGTGAGATGAGCCCGTCGGAGTGAAAAGACTGTGGTTTGAGTTGCAAGTCCACTGCTTGTTAGCTGGGTGGTCTTGGGCAGGTCATCACAGCCCCGAATCTCGGCTGCCAGCAGCAACAGGCGCAGCATCCGATCCCCACCTGAGCCGCAGGTGTGCGGAAGGAGTGTAAGGTCACTCCATCAACTGGGATCCCTGAGTGGAGGCCCAGTTCTTTGTTATCATGCTTTGCTCTGAGGCGAGCCCTTTGAAACAGGTACGGCAGAGCAGAATCACGGGCACCAAGAGGCCAGGGAAAGGCGATGTCAGAGAGCCCTGGCTCTGAACGTTCACTTTGCTACTCACTGGCTGTGGTGCGCTGAGCAATTAACTCGATTCTATGTGCCTCAGTTTCTCTCATCTGTCAGCATGAGTAACATTATCTCCCTCCCAGGGAAGTGATTTGACTTGTTCACAAGGATGCCATTAGAAACTGCCAAGAGCCTGCCTGAATGAACCCAGGCGTCCGTGTGAGCCTCGCAGCCTCACTCTTCCTCTGCTCCTCTGCATCTGGTTCTCCATAAAGGGCCCTGTTTGGGTGGCTTTCACACATCATTCTTTAGCTTTCCTGACCCACTACACCCATATTCCACCCACAGATCTATAAAACTCACATGTTTTGGGGTTTGTTTGTTTTTTGTTATTTCTGCCTCTTTCCATTTTTTCATAAGTATCTCCTTAGACCAGCGGTCGCCAACCAGTGGTCCGAGAACCACTGGTGGTCCGCGAGGTCCGAAAGGTTGGCGACCACTGCTTTAGACCCTGTGACTATGAGGCTTTTGTGTGTGTGTGTGTGTGTGTTTTTATCATGACTTTTTTAAATTGTTTTATTGCTTAAAGTATTAGAAAGAGTATTATATATGTCTCCTTTTTTTTCCTCCCCTTGACCTTCCCCTAGCCTCCCATACCCCCCAGTGTCTTGTGTCCATTGGTTATCCTTATATGCATGCATACAAGTTCTTTGGTTGATCTCTTACCCACCCCCCCAACCCTCCCTGGCCTTCCCACTGTAGTTTGACAGTCTGTTCAATGTTGCTCTGCCTCTGTATCTATTTTTGCTCATCAGTTTATAATGGTCTTAATTATCCATAAATGAGTGAGATCATGTGGTATTTTTCTTTCATTGACTGACTTATTTCACTTAGCATAATGCTCTCCAGT